CATGAAATTGCAATGGAATAGCCATGTCACAATGAAATGGGCAAAAGACACCCATTGTGGATGCTCTTAACAGCGCTTGTCATGGATAGAGATTGCTGATCATTATGTGGATCTGAGAAAAAGGAAGAGAATATGCTCATACATGCTCCCGTCAGTCTCGAATTATGTACCATTCCCAAAGAAAGAAGTCAAAACTTCTCGACAACATGTTTACTTCCATTTGCTGATAAATTGTTATTACCAAATAAGAAAACCATAAACAAACAACAACAGAACCCACCATTTCCATCATCAAACTGGCTCATATTCATGACTATAAGTAGAGAAAGTTTTCAAGAACAAGGACAACATCTAACCCACACTACAGAGTAGTTCTCCACAAAGAAAGCATAGTGCTCTTACATTCGTCCCTGGTTCCATAAAATAATAAAGACAAAGCCCCTGTAAGCATCAAAAGAAGCAATTCTGGCTTTCGACCACAGTATAACAGAGATATTTCAATTGAGGTTGAACTAAGGGGTCGTTTGGTTTTGGTGATTGTTTGATTGAGATAGTTACAATACATGCATTGTCCACAATGCATCATTTTTCTGAATTTTCTGCACAAACAATACATTCATTGTTTGCTTGATATGACACCAACTATCATTCAAAATGAGTGATTGTTAAATCTCAAGTTTTTGTGAGATTGTTGTGTGTTTTTTTCTTCCAACTTTGCCCCTGCCTTTTTATGTGTCTTGCTTTTTTGTATTACAAACAAAGGGTAAAAGTGACATTTCACCCAAAAAGTAAGATAACTTATTTAAATAGCACAATAACTCTCACATAAACCAAACGACGCAAACTACAATACACCGATTTTTTTATATACATGTATATTATTATGCATGCATTGATGATAATGCATCTATTTAACTATCACCAAAACCAAACGACCCCTAAGACATTCCCATAAAACTAACAGAGAATGTCAAGTCATTTTTTACTTTGTGACCCGTCTTAATGTAACGCCTCATCAAAATTTTATAACCTCACGGTAAGTAAGCGCTTACTTCAAACGATTTTGAAGAATCAGAACCAACAGCAAGCACTTCCGCCGCTTGTGAGATCCGACGAAGGGCTTCTGACTATGATTATTGGGGGAAACCAATAGAAAACATCAAATCACCGAAAGATGTTCAAACCAAAAATGAAACGGAGAATGAGACAGGAAACCGTACAAAAGGGCTTTTAAACTTGTCGATAATCCAATCCTTGAACATCGAGCCTCTGGAAATTGCTTCTTCAGGCCTTGAGCATGTTGCGTTAACGCCGATAAAAACCATTAGCATATACGAAAGCACAATAGAAGGAAGAAAAGAAAATGAAATGAAATGAAGTGAGGAAGATGTAGCTTACCATGGTCAAAGCTCATCCAGACAATGGCTGTTGTTGGAGGTACCCGAATCTTCCACAACGCACTGGTGCGGGTAAAGCACAGGAAGATGGCTAGCTACTCATCTAGTCAACATAGAGAAAAATTACCTGAAACCTGGGGAAAGGAAAATAAAATTGTCAAATTTACACAACTGTACAATTAATGCATATATTAGAGCATGAGATCTGTTGCTGCGCTTACCAGTTACATCACTACGAAGTTCAGGGTGATAGTCCACTACAAAATGCACGATCGTCCTCAAAGGCATCAAACAAAATCCATGGAGCAAAGAAGAGAAAACTGGTTTAGATAACAGGGATAGAGAAAGGAAATAGATAAACAGAACCATCGAGGAGAAAGAATAACCTCCATCGACGTCTCTGTCGGAGACGACGTCACAATGATGATCGTGCGGCCCTCGATCAGTCTGACAGATCTGCATGCTGAAGGGGAAAGAGAATGGAATCACAATCTACAAAGAGAAGAGAAACAAAAGCACATAATATCTGATGCTTACCTGAACCCGCAGATCTGAGTCAGAATAAATGGAAAAGACCGACGGAATTCCAAGCCGCATAGCTCTGGGGTTTCCCCATCTCTCCCTACCTGAATCTCTTGGCCACTATCATCGTTGTTGTTCCAACTGCAACTTAAGCCAACAAAAATGGCAGAATCAAGAAAACTGATGATCAGGGGAAGCAATCGAGTCAAATATTATATACAAAACATTTATAGAGGAAGTTATTTCACCTTCTCTACTCATATTTGCTGGTTTTGCTGACATAGTGGTTGCTGTTGGAACACGAAGATTAGAAGATGTAACTTTGGCAATCGCAAGAGGGTGCTTCCGAACAACAGGTTTTCGTCACTGAGGAGATCTAAAAGACGTGTTGCTCACCGAGTTGCTTGACGTTGTCCTGTTCTCCCACATCCTCAACATTGTCAACTCATAAGCCTTCTGTAAGTCGCGAAAACGGCCAATACCCATATCTCTGTCGTCTGGGAATCCTCTGCGTTTGCTGATTTGAATCAGGGGGGTGAGAAATAGAGGTATCAAGAGGAGTTTTTTTTATTTTTCCACCTGCAAGTGATAGGGGAAGAAGGAGAGCATGTAAGATTGGATGGGAAGAGAGATGGTAGAAAGAGACAACTAAAAGGCAAGTGGTAAATGAGTTTTCTCACCATTTCTACTTCTAATCGAGAGAGTGCATCCCTCGAGATGGAAACCAATGAAAAAAGCAGGCATAGAGAATTGAGCCGGTCAGCTAAAATGAGTGGGCAAAAATTGAAGAGCTATGTGGCTCCTAATTCACCAAGTATAAGTTGTTTTCCTCTGTTTCTCTCTCAAGTAGCATGGAGAACACCAAAAGGTAACGCGCTGATCAACTCAGACTCACCAGAACCACACAAATTCAACCAGACCACCCAACTAGAGGTCTCATCATGGTCCAAAAAGAACCACAGCTTCAGAAACTGACCAAAGATCAGCATACACCCTCCCACACCTAAGTCCAATCCGAGTTAGGGGTGGGCATCCGGTTCGGTAAACCCAAACCGAACCGAACCGAAATCGAATTGAACTGAACCGAAACCGAACTTTTGTTATTCGGTTCGGAATTCGGAAGAGAAATATGGGTAATTCGGAAACCAGGGTTCTCTCAACCGAAACCGAGGTTCCGAATTTCGAACCGAAAACCAAAAAATTGCCCCAACAGTCGACATGTCATGAACCCCAAGCCCAAAAGCCCTTTGCCTATTGAAACCCTAGCCCATTCCCATCCCCCTATCGGCCCATCCCGCAAAGTGCAAACCCTAGCCCAGATCTAACCCACTATCACCCATCCCCGTCTCACAACACAACAGGCGTAGTCGCCGCCGTCAGCCATTCTCCTCCTCCCCCTGCCTCTTGGCTCTCCCTCTTCGACGACCGACGCCATCAAGCCACCACCTCCACCGTCTTCTCCATCATGCTCTTCCACCTCCTTCACCGCCGAGTTAACCTTCATCATTGAAGTTATCTCCACCTGAATCAAAAACAGAGGCGATGACACTGAAGCTCGAAGGAGAATACAAACCCAAAAAAATGTCATGCATGCTTGGATTTGAACTCGTATGAACCTTTGTCATTGAAGTTGTCACCATCGCCGTCGTCAATCGCTTCCTGCCGCTGTCCTTCGATTGGATTTCTTCACTTTTGAACCCTTAAAGATCCGTGTTGCTTCGGGACTAGAGGCGGAGATCTCTACCGTCGCTGTCGCGGCAGCTGCGTTGTGCTCGCTGTCGTCGGTCGCCGCCAGCTGTTTAATTGGTTGGAGGGGGAGAGGGGGGGGGGAAGATCAGAGGATTCAGCTGCGTTTTGCTCGCCATCGCCGGTCGCCGTCGCCTTGTTAGTTGGTTGGAGGGAGAGAGAGGGTGGAAGATCGGAGGAGTCAGGGAGAAGTGAGAGGGCGGAAGAGAGAGAGGGTGTAATTGAGGAGTTAGGGAGAAGTGAAAAGATAGGGTAAATGGAGGCCTCCATCCATTTTGCCCAGCGACAGGAGCCAAAACGCAAGAGTCAGTAGGGCAAAACGCAAAGAGCTGTCAGTTTCGGTTTTGGGGGGAAATTCGAACCGAGTTATAATTCGGTTCGAATTCGGTTTGACTTAGGAATGAAATCGGAACCCCGGTAATGGTCTATTCGGTTCGGTTTGAACCGAACCGACCGAATGCCCACCCCTAATCCGAGTCGTAACAGTGTCAATGAGTCTATATGTACATTAAAATGAATCGGGATGCATAGTAATCGCCTCTGCTGGGGTTCTCTTTTTTCAATGTTAAAAAAAGATAATTTTTGGTTCAATTGCATGAATGGTTGAACTGGCAATACGGCAAACCATTTACTTTACCCCGTCTGTTTATCAAAACAGTCCGCTAAGGATGGCAATGGGTCGGGTTTGGCATCGGGTTTTGCCAAACCCAAACCCATGGGTTTATCCGTGAAAAGAACCCGGGGTAAAACCCACTGGGTTTGAAAAACTCAAACCCAACCCACTGGGTATCCGCGGGTTCATGGGTACCCACGGGTTTTTGTCGTACAAAATTCACAATAACAAGTTCCTATAAAAATTAACATCAAATATCAATCTCTCAATACAAATTATCCATATATAAAACACCACTCTAGAAAATTCAAGCAAATCACAAATTAACTATACAAATTGTTCAACACCAATCTAGAAAACTCAAGAAAATTGAAGCAAATCACAAATTATTCATGAATAACATGATTAATTGAAAGCTTCTTCTTTTCAATTAAGTTTTTCAATCTCCACTCGATAACATCAAATTCATTCTACACAACTAGAAAGAAAAAATTAGGCATGTCTCCACAAACATAAATAAGATTAGTTGTTTAGAATATTAAATATGCCGAGAAAATTAATTATATGGGTGTGGGCGGATACCCATGGGCCGGGTTTACCTAAACCCAAACCCAACCCAACCTGGTGAATAATGAACGGGTTTAAACCCAAACCCGGCCCAAAACCCGTCAACACGAATTTTATCCGCGTTGACCGGGTGGGTACCCGTGAGTTCGGGTTTTATTGCCAAGCCCGCGAACTTGTTTTTTCTAAAGCCCTCGCACCCTAATTTCTTCTCCAGGGTTTTAACAAATCGCCAAATCCCCCATCAGAACCCCGCCGCGGCCGTCACCACCACTACCGCCGGCGGCCATGAGTCTAGTAGCAGGTTCCAACGAAAGATTCATCTGGGGATTTAAACTCAAGCCCGTAACCAGCGAACAATCTCTAACCTTAGTTCCCCTCTTCTCCTACCCATCCCATCAATCCGCAATCCTCTCAGCCGCCGCCGCCGGCCCAATCGCCGCCTCTGGGTCCTCCGACGACACTATCCACCTCTACGACTTACCCTCGGCTGCCTCCCTCGGCTCCCTCTACCAGCACACGGCTTCCGTCACTGCCCTCTCCTTCTACACCCCACCTTCCCTTTCCTTCCCCCGCAACCTAATCTCCGCCGACGCCGAGGGATATGTTTGCATCTTCGACGCCGACCCTTTTGTCCACCTCAAGACAGTGCGGGCCCACAAGAAGCGGATCAACGACTTGGCTGTCCACCCTTCGGGGAAGTTGGCGCTTTCTGTTGGGAGGGATGACTGCTTGGCGATGTTGAATTTGGTGAGGGGGAGAAGGAGCTTCTATTGCAGGCTTGGGAGGGAAGCTAGCTTAGTCAGGTATGGCTTGGATGGAGAAAAGTTTTTCATGGCGACGGAGGATAGAGTTGGGGTTCATGAAGCTGAAGATGCCAAGCTTGTGACTGAGCTTCAATGCCCCAATAGGGTTCTTTGCGCCTCCCCTGGAGAGGTTTGTTGTTTAAATTTTACGTCTTTTGGATTTCCTTTTCATCGTGGATTCTCTTGTTTTCGTTATTGGCGTTTCAGTTGATGTAGGATTGCAGTTTCTTAGATATTGGAATGAAATTGGTCTGAAGAAGGAACAACTTGTATCTCAATGTGGCTTAGTAGGAATTTACAACAAATAGCCTCTCTTTGATGATCTTAATGTATAGTTTCTGGACTACAAGAATTTACGTTTATTCTTTCACTTGGTTGCTGGAAACCAAGAACTTTGGGGTAAAGTTATCTCTTTCTGCTGGTCAATGGCTGCAGCCTAGTTATTCTGCTAACTTGAAAATTCGTTAGCATATACTAACTAATATTCAAAATGTATGAACTAATATCCAAGTCTGTTGAGTATCTAGATAGTACATACTAGTATTCAAAACATCACAAACTAGTATTCAGATAGCATATACCAACTAATATCCACAATCAACCAACTAGTATTCAATATGGATACTCTTATGTGTTATTTGGATACTCTTATGTGTTATCTGGATACTAATTATGTGATGTATGGATACTATTCTGTGTTGTCTAGATATTAGTTTGTGAATTTGGGATAATAGTTGATTCATGGTGGATATCAGTTAGCAAATTTTGAATACTAGTATGTGCTCTCTAGATACTTTAGTACTTGGATACTAGTTCATGTATTTTGGATATCAGTTAGTATCTGCTAACGAATTTTCAAGTTAGCAGATTAACTTTCCCCCAATGGCTGTGTATTAAGATGGAATGCAACCTGCTCTTGTTTTTTGTACGGAAGTAGACATACTTCTCCAGAATATTGCTTCGAGTTATTTGGAGCTATTTGTTCTCTGCTTCTACTGTCTGATTATGCTGTGATATTTAAATTTTGTGGAACGGTTATAGTTGCCCTGTTGTTCTATCTCATGTGTTTCATATTCTTGATGCGATGTTTTGTGTGCTTTACCCTATCACCATTGGCCCGTGTTCTTTTTCCTTTTGTCCCTTGCTCTGACTATACTTACTGCCTAATGGGATGATACTGAAAGAAGCAAAATAGGATGATTTCCTTCTAATTTCCATCTTCTTATGTTTTGGAATAGATTCAGCTGTGAAATTTGAGTCTGCTGTATGTTACCACTAGCAACAGTTACCTCCTTGTTGTTACGACTGGATGAGAGCTCTGATTTCACTTCCATTTGCTCTCTGTGCTGAATTTTCATGTCAGAGTAATTCTTGTCTGTGTGTCTCTCTTGATCGTTTGTGGCCTTGAACAGAATGGGCTTCTATTCACTGGTGGGGAGGACAAGAATATTACAGCATGGGATACCAAAAGTGGGAAGGTTGCTTACTGCATTGAAGATGCTCACAAATCCCGTGTTAAAGGTATAGTAGTGCTCACCAAGAACAATGGTGGTGTTGATGACCCGTACCTATTAGCATCAGCGTCTTCAGATGGGGTTGTACGTGTGTGGGATGTTCGTAACTCCATGAAGGAAGAAAAGGCTAATCCATTAGCTGAGGCAAGCACAAATGCGAGGCTTACTTGTCTTGCTGGATCATCTATCAAATGTAAGTGCTCTCCCCGTCATGTCATCTTATTGATCTTCGCAATTTAATGTCTTGCTGGATTCTTCTGCGTTCTCGATTCTCACTATGCGTTTACTTGTTCCTTTTGTAGCTTTGAAACAGGCACGGGCAATATCTAATGGTAACTTGTCAGAGGACCACACTGCTCAAAAGAATCCTGAGTGAATATCTCGCTCGACCTCTGGCGAGGAGTCATAAGCTACCATGGAAGTTTAAGTTTGATAGGTGGATGGCAGTGGTTAGTGGATTAGGTATCATTGGTGGGAAGAGAATCGATTCTGACAATGTGGAATCCTTGTTTTGTAAGCATTAACGGAGGCAGTGTGAGGATGATTATAGAGTTGATGAGCTGGTATCTGTAGGTCCTCATTTTGTTATGTTGATGCAAGTTTTGACATTGAGCTATCGTGATGAAAGTTATGGGGCGGAAGGTAGGATTATAAAGGTGTCGATTATATAATGTTTGTTCAAAGAAATCGCTGTTAGGACTCCTAACTGAATGCTGTGGCCTGTGTGCGCCATGAACTAACTGGAAGTTGGTGAACTTAAGGATGATGCAGCAATAACGCAAGCAAACAAGGCATTGGTCCAAAAGACATAATGGATGCAAAAGCAAAAGAAGGCCCATCTGACAGCTATAACATGATTATGAATGAATGAATGAATGAATGAATGTGGTTCGTTGCCTCTGCAGCTCTGCTTGCTGCTGCTTCTATGCCAAAAACGAATTGCTACCATTCCAGTTCCTTTCCTTCATATCTATGGTTTTGGCCCACCTCAGCTCAGCTAGAAGCCTAGAACTGAAGGCGATGGTGGGTAATCTGATCATGATTTTCTCTTTATTTTTCTTCAGAACCCTTATGCTTATCGTTCCCCTCTCCATCACTTTGGCTTTTTCTTGCTCTTGGTCTAGGGCATAATAACAATGATGTCATATGTCGTGGTCCATCAAGAAGATGTGTATCGAGAAAAATATTAAAACCCACCAAGAAGCTTAAGTTTGTAAGCAATAAGCACCATGATGACAATGATCAGGGATAGGGGTGTGAAATGGGCCGGTCCGGGACCGGATCAAACCTTAATTTGGACCGGACCACGTTAGATTGAGTATAATGCGGTTCGGTCCTTGGTCCACATGAATTTTACAATTACTGAAGAAATGATGGACTAGATTGATATTTGGCCCGGACCAAATGGACCAAACGCAATGATGGGCAGCTCCTTGTTCCTAAGATTTCTTTCACTAATAGACCGTAGTTCTCATTAGTTTGGTCCAGTACGTACAGAACCGAACCGTTGCACACCCCTAACCAGGTAGTGGCTTGGTAATGTGCATGGCTAATCTTAGCAGAAGGAAAGTTTCTCTTGTTTTATTTCTAGGTTGTTACCTATATGTACAAACGTATATCCAACAAGAAAAGCTAGTCAACTTACTTAACTCGATTGGGAGGAAAGTCGACCAAAGTAAATGAATGATTTTCGCTCAAATAAGTAACTTTTGATTTGGGTAAATTGCAAGTTTGGTCACTGGAATTACTTAAAAGGTTCACATTTGCCATTAAAACTAATTTATTCCATTAATAGTCATTCAAATTAGTTCAACAGTTCAAGATTGGTCACTCTCTGTCTCTGTTAGCCTCTGTTAAATTTATCTGACGTGGCAGTCAACTATAATAATTGACCAATAAATAAGTGATGTGACAATTGAAAAATAAAAAAATAATATTTTACTTTTCCACCTCATTATCAAAATTATAAAAAAAAAAACCAACCTAATTACAGTCATTTTTCAATTATTTATAAATCGTGCAAGAGAATGCTCTGCCCATCATCATCACACCCTAGTCCATTCGTGATCCAGTATGCTCTGCTCAGCCTGTACAATAGAACCAAACTCAACCACCGGCAACATGTGATCAAATTTGTATGCAATTGATCAGTTATCCAATGAACCCACAAGTTGACTAACCCGTAACTCAATTGACTTGAAGCCCAAGCCAACGAGTCTGAAAGTGACACAAGTTATCAATCTATAACCTGATCGAGTCGAAGTGCAAGTGGAATCCAAGGAATACAAGTGGAGTAGTTCAGAACTTTGAACCGATATGAGAAACAAAAACTGGAGCAAACCAAAACCACTTATGTACTATCCTCTTCAGTCAGGCCACCAGCTCATGAAAAAAAGGGGAATATTAGTATGGACAACTTTCGAGTCTTTCAGCTATTGCAAAAATTAACAGAAAAAATCATCCCAGAAAAAGAAAACTGCTCTAAGGTTGTTCGGAGATTTGAAGGTACACCATCTGGGTGTAACCGTTAAATACAGAATTATCGAGCTTACTCAACCCCAGCCGCTGGAACAATCCATACCGCCCGTCTTCAACAATGGGATTGGTAACACGAGCTGGATCATAACGAGTTTGATGCGTGAGAGAAGGACCGGCTACCGGTGGGAGCTCCCAGTATAAGTCGAGTATCGACTCGATAAACCGGCTGTTCTGGAAGTGTTCCTCGTAGGAAATAGGCTTATTGCTGTGGTTGAAGTTGTCACGCATCCATCCTCTGACGCCCCACCATGCCTCGTTCTGTCCGCAGAGTTCATCTATATCTACTGCCTTCTCCCAGAATTTCTTCCTCTTTGACCTAATCCTGGCTTCATCGCTATCTCTGAAGCAACTGTGGCCACCACCTAGAAACAGATGAAAATAGGTGTCATTATGATAGCCCTACGTAAATGACAAACCCTCCACTGAACCGAGTCATCAATATCACATTGCTTATCACAAAACAAAAGAAAATCAATGAACATACATGAACAGACGAAAAGGAGATTCTGGTGAGTTACTGTTAACAGTTTCTATCAGAAGACACGAAATGGTAAGGTAGTAGCTAACAGTTGCCGCGGCTCCAATTCAAACCATTCTTCTAAAGGATAATCAACTCAAATGTTCTCTCCACTCTGAGACTACAAAGTAAATCATCACTTGAACTCTCTCTTTGTTGATATAAATTCTCTAACAATATATCTACAAGATTTCTTCAGTTTGGAGTGAAGTAAAAGCAGCTGAAAGGTGAGAATTACCGTACCTCTTATGTAGGACTGATCACATATCTGCCTCAACGAATAATGATCACCAGTTCCAGTATCATAATTGTCCTCAAAAACCAGATGTTGAAACCCAGCATCCAGCGCCTGCTTTATCCTGCCGAAAAGGAAATCAATCGAGAAGAATTCAAGTGACATGAAATACTACCCAAGGAATAAAGACACCACTGGCCAGGTAGGTTTGTCCATACCTTTTCAGTTCATTCTGATGGTCGTCAAAAAAGACAAGGACCCGTGTAAGATCAGTAATTCCATATTTACTCATCACACTCTTCCAATCAACACTTCCAAAATCTACAAAATCTTTTCCAGCAAAGTAGGTGCAGTTTTCATCAACATAAGCCGGACCCTTCTTCAGGTACTTCTCAGGGTGCCTTGGAGAAAGCGAAATGATTCGAGTTTCTGGCATTGCTTGGCGAAGGACCCACGTTGAATGACCCTTGAAAGCACCACTCTCGACCATAAGATCCGGCTTAAGCCACCGTGCCATGAACCATAGCCCAAAGCTATGATCGAAACCCATTCCATACATGTTGTTTTTGATCGGCCGAGTTTCATAAATTGGTATGAACTCTTCCAAGGCCTTGAGCAAATCCTTGGATGTCCAGTCAACTGTCTTACCATGTTTCGATCTGCCTTTTGCCAAAGAGAAACAGGAGTGACATTCAACAACAACTACAACAGGGAACTCAACTTAACCGACGGAAGACTCCATAGCTGCGCATTCAGAAATTCAAGCAAATGAACCGATCACAAAGAGCAACATAGCTGCGCATTCCTAGCCCATATATCTAGATAATAACATCAGAGCTAACATTCTTTTCAAAGAAAGTCGAAAACTTTAATTCAGGCCTGAAATGACGTAACTTACTAAAATAGCAGCTGACATTGGTTCGAATTCAATATTTCTCGATCCTTACTAAAACCCATCAAGAAATTGTTTCAGCAACCAATCACAACCCCAAATCACAAATCAACAGCAATTGAAGTATACAACCAAAATCAAGAAAACAAGATCCCATTTTCCCCACCCCAAAGCTCACTCAGATCTGAATTCATAAGAAAAGGGGATGGCACTTACACCAGGGGACACCGAGGGCGGCGAAGTCGGACTCAAGGCCGTCGATCCCGAAAAAACCGACCCGGGACTTGGGATCGAAGCGGGAGATGCAGACGAGGGAGCGAGAGTGGTACATGAGCGAAGCGATGAGGGCGAGGACAAAGAGGAGGAGGCCGAAGATGACGCAGTGGAAGGAAGAGTGGGACATCCTGGAGATGTAATTGGAGGCCAAGGAAGAGAGGTTGGGGGGCTTGGTCTTGGACTCGTCGGCGGAGACGAAGGAGGAAATGGCGTGGCCTTCCGGGGAAGTAGAGGAAGAAGAGGAGGGCGGTGGGTCGTCGGAGGAGTGGGGGCCGTAGCGGCGGGAAGAGAGGACCCGCTCCAGCATGGTCTTGGCGGCGGCGGTGGAGGAAGAAGAAGAGTGGGGAGCTTTGGGACTCAGTTGATTATGCTTCAGTTGGTGCATACCTGAATTGATATGAATTGATACTCAAAGTTGTTCTGGATTTTATTACAATTATTTAGTTAGTTTTTTAAAAAGGGAAAATGGTATATTGGTATGAACAAAAGAATAAGGAAAATTGATTTTCTGGGGTGGGAATCTTTTGAGAGAGACAGAGGAACGGAAGGTGTAATCTGGTGGAGATGTGATTAAATGGGTAATGATTTGCTTCCTCTGTTTTTCTTTTCTCCTTTGCTCTGATTTGTAAGTTGTTACATGCAATCAATTTTTATGCTATCACGAGCATGCTCTAAATTTCAGTAATCATACCATCACGATTATTAGCTCACCATGGTTATTACAGGCAAATTGGATATAAAAAAAATTGTATTAATTATTTTTTAATAAATTACATATTAGGAAGTTACACAAATATATATCAATTATAATTTTCTTTCTCTTTCTCTCACCTTTGCAATTTCCACCCAGATCTCCCTTACTTATTTTTCTCAATATTTTCCTTGTCTCCGTTCAGCCGAACTAATACCAGTGTAAAAAAAAAAAAATAACAAATCAGTACCAATCCGTTAGACAACTACTACCACTTCGAAAAAGCATCAATACCATTGTAAAAAAAAAATCAATACCAAAATATAAAAACACTATTACTACTACAATACCAATACATGAAAATCTAAAAAAAAAAAAAGATATATACATGAAATCTAAAAAACAATGTGTTTTTGAGTTGAGGAAATCTAAAAAATCATGAAGGATTTTGGGAAAGCCTAGTCGAGCCTATAATTATGATTAAGAGAGTAGGTCATGGATCATGTGTTATTACAAGCCTATTAAACGTGCTTAAATGATTTTATTTGAACAACCAAGGAAAGGAGCAAGATGGGGAAACATCAAGAGGCAAGGGAATTGCAGAGTAACATCAAAAGTTGGGAGTAAATTCTAACCCGGTAACTTAATTAATACGAGCATGGTATTTGGGTCATGAAGCGGCTCAAATATGAGGTAGCGATTTGAATTATGGTAAAGTGTGGTTGTGTGTTTAAGTATGTGTTAATGATAATATGATATGATGATGTTGTGGTGTGATTTCTATGTTAATGCATGGGCATTTAAGTGGTAGGGGAAGCTCAATGTGCATAATGATAAGAATGTTGATGAGAGGAGTATAAAGAGGCATGAAGGCCTCCGTAATGATGACAATTATGTTATTAATAATGGTGATGCATGTGATGTGGATAATGATTATGGATTTGATATGATGTGATATGGCTGTGTGTTCCTTTGCATGTATGTGTTAAAGAGTTAGTCATGCACCCGAAGAATATGATGATGTGATAAGTTCTCAGTAAGAATTTTGTGTGTATATATTTGGCTATGTGTCGATTGCTCGGGCTATGGGAGGAAGTCACCGATGCTTTAGGTAGGCGGAGGTGGAGGAGCCTAAGCAACGAGGAGGAGGTGGGAAAGAAGATGATGGTGCATGACTAGGCCGGAGTGGATGCTGGATGCTTGTATGTGCATATGCTTGTTGTGAATCAATTTGTATGTGTGTGTATGTGGCGATTGATGATGTTTGAATGAGTATGATGCTATTGTTGAATTTGTGTTGGTTCTATATGTGTATATGTGTGAGTGGTGAATGTTTATAGAGGTACTAGTATAATGAGAACAAGAAGGGTATAACACTAACCGTGATTGCTCAATACCTTATTTATGTTAATTATGATTCTAGGTTAGTTTTTACCCATTGAGGTGACGTCTCACCCCATCAAAATTTTCCCCAAATCCGAAGTTGTTGACTAGAAGTAAGGAAATCCAGCAAAACTCAGCTCGGCAGCAATGAGGTGGGACAGTGGGCTCAAACTCCAACATGACCTTATTTATAAGTAATTTTGAGAGAATATGGTCTTCTCTACTGTCACGTGGTTAAAAAGTTGTAAAGTTTTTTTGTAAATTATGGTTTGGTTTGTAAACTAAACAAGAATGTGCACGAGGTGAGAATGGTGGTTTTGTAAAATGGTAACAAATAGGTATGGGTGTTACAATGTCACGGCTCCAGTCATGACCGTGACTTAATTCCTCCCGGCCGTGACTTGTAAAATGTAACATTTCACTTATTTGGTCACACCCTATCTCATGCCGTGACCCATGAATGTCCCAACCCAGCCCGTGACATCATGTATCAAGCCGTGACATTGCATGTAAAGCCATGATATTGCTGAGGTATCATGGTCATTTTCGGAATCTCGCGTCTTGGATTCTGAATGTCGACATTGCTCTAGCGTCCCATCTTGTCTCATTTTGACCTCCGATCGTCTCGACACTAGGATCTGACATATGACAGAAACACACAATCTAGCATAAAATCAACTTATATAAAGGTGTTTCAACCCAAATGACCAAACATGACCAAGTTATAAGGGACAACATATGTATAATTATACGTGTATCAATATGTGTTAATGATAACGTATGTCAAAACATTCAAATTTTTGTGCTTTGGGGCTATGTTGGTTTAAGAGTGAACTTGTATAGAACTTATGTTTGCAAAGAGGGAGGAATGATATTGAAGGATGAACATATATATTTGGGTTTCTCCTTTTAGAGCAAGACAATGTATGTCAAACAATAACTTTTATAGATTGAAATTAAGGTGAAAAATCTTTTTTCTTTCTTTCCAGAGGATAGTTGCCTTGGTCAAGATTAGCTTTTCTGGTTTATCTATCTACAGACTGTTCATACTCGGAAAATATAGAATCAATTTGAATGGAAGGGGAGGAGAGGAGAGGAGAGGACAACAAAAACAAACCTGTGAGTGAGTTGGTTAAAGCCTCGATCCATAAAATAAGCGCTCTAATTAAAGCCCCTCAATCATAGCTCCCGCATTTGTGGAAATGTATTGAAAAGAAACGACAAAAAATTCTCAAGCCAATGAATTTTACAAAAGAAAACCTTAGAAAACCATGCATGCACACACAAGATTGCAAATTTAGAATGTCTAAATTCTTAACCAATCACTCCTAACTGTCTCCTCCATTATATAAATCTCATTTCCTTCAATCGACCTTACCGTTCCCAAACAAAAAGACGATCGAAAAGAAAAGATATCAAAGATGGGCCTCTCAACCAAATCAACAACAATAGTACTCCTTCTCATCTTCACTCTCACACTTTCTTCTCTTCTCTCCATCTCCATATCCCAAGACATGGCTCCTTCTCCTTCTTCCTCCTCCACCGACGACTCATCAGCCTCCCCATCCTTATCATCATCATCCTCTGCGGATGGGAGTCCTGCCATGTCACCTTCTGACGCTCTCATGCAAGACAAGGAACAAGCTGACTTTTCGCCTCCCTCAGGTAGCGTCTCTAGTGACCTCACCACGACAAGCTCATCTTCTCCAACATCCACCGCTGATCCTTCCATCGCCATTGACGATGCCTCTTCCTCCCCCACCACTGCTCCATCCCCCTCACCAGATGCATCGTTTCCTTCATTCCCTACGATGTTCTCCACCAAATTCGAGCGCAAGATGCAAGAGAACTCCATAACCAAGGCAACAGACATGGTCAAGGAGCTCTGCTCGGGGACCGAGAACCCCTCCAAGTGCATGGAGTTCTTCCGGGATTCTCGCTCCGACGATCCGGCGGAGATCATCAACACCGAGATCGGAACGCTCAAGACCCTAGTGCAAGAAGGGATCTCTTCCGCCACCAAGGTGAGGCAGCAAGGCAACGCCGCCAGTGGTGTCTTGGATGTGTGCCTTGAGAATTATGATAAGGCCATAGGGAACCTCGATAAGGCATCTGCCACGTGTGCAAAGTGCATTCGTTCAACCCCCAAGTGCTCTCCCAAGAACACCAGCGAAGTTAAGACCATGCTTAGTGCGGTCATCTCCAACGTCGGCTACTGTGATGAGGCATTCAATGCTCAAGGGCTTGCCCCGCCGATGAAGGCTACCAATGAGGCTGTGATTGAGTTGACCGATTGGCTCTTGGAATTTTGTAAGAAATTAGGGCAGAAGTATTAAAACAACGTGACTTGTTTCTCTAGTAAAAATAAGCGATGAGTACGTATTTTATGAAGAGGGAATAACTGAGAAATTGGTAATTGCAATACTCAATTTTGATTGTATAGTAACAAAAAGAAAAATTTAGTATTCTTTTATTTTACTAGACCAAAAATTTACCAAAAAAAACACCCATTAAATTAATAAATTTACATTTAGAGACAACGTCTAAGTCGCCGGGCAAACATAAACCTTTTTCCCTCTTTAGTAACTATAATGGATAAGCAGCAACCTCGGGCAGAATGATCACTCCTTGCTCTCCCCTAAGGTAAACCTATAATGAATCTTCCCGTAGAATCATCATTGTTGGCTATGAATGCCTCTGTCTGCGAGATGGAGCCTAATCAATCTTCACAGTAATGCGACTCTGAAGGAAGCCTCTGGTTTCCTTCACTTTAGTTTTTTTTTATACTAGCTTATTACCCGGCCCGTTGGCCGGATTACTGTATGTTACCCACTTGTGGAATACTGGAATGAGAGAGAAAGCAAGTGAGAGTGAAGAGATTGAGATTCCACTTGATTATGACCGACCCTCTAATCTGATTCTTCTCGACGCGCCCCAACCTAGAGGGTCAGAAAGAGTCAATAAGAAAATACGAACGGAGAGGATTAGTCATATATCTTGACTCTTCAGAAGTGGGTCAAACAGGATCAAGGTTGGGTGAGGGCAATTTTTAGCGCTAAGCAAAGTTCTGGGTTGAATAACTTTACTTAGGCCTAGAAATTGGTGTTGATGCAGACTGCAGTTTTTATTATACCATCATCAATCATCATTGAATTAGTCCTGGGCATCTCTCCTCGTTGTCGGTCTGAATTCTAATGATGGCTTCATTCCTTGCACCAGGCATATCAGCGAGTTGTCATCTCGAGCATGATTTTCCTATGTACAAATGATACAATTAGAGTATGAAACTGAATTCAAAGAAAATGAAAAGAGAATTCTATCACATGCCAATAAATACACACATAATAGTTGAAGCTAAGTGAAAGTCATTACTCGCACATCAATTCTCAAAAATTACAGACTAAACAATGGCTAGAATGGCACTGAAACTACCAAGAATCATGGACGAAACAACTTGTCAAATTAAATAATCCTTATACTGAAACTACCTTCTAACTTGAATTAAGACATGATCACAGTTCATAGCACTCTTATCACTATGAATTGGTTGCAGCTCGTCCTTATCACTGCCTCCCAAGCTCAATTCAAATAGAATAGAGACCGTTATGTAAGATAACCATATCCTTACTGATCATAATTCCTTTCTTCACTCCATTTTTGTCGGAGAAAAGAGTTATCCCCCTCTCCTGCATTTCCCTTTCCCCCTCTCATCTCCCTCTTCTTCACAAACCGATCCCTAAACCAGCAACAACAACACAAAAATAGCCTTCGCCTCTGCCATCTCCATCTACTGAACGCGTTGGTGGCAAGACAGGACTGCAGAAGCAAAATTTTCTAAAATCAAACTAAATTTTTTGAAGGAGACTCAACCACGAAAAAAGAGAAACAACAATGCTAATAGTTCAGATGGTTGGTTTGATGTTATACGTTGCTTTTGTTATGGTCTCCAGTATATCAACTGCAACAGAGATGTTTCCTCCAATCATCTTTAGTGCACGATTTAGAAGTAAGTCCTCTAGTTTGTGTCAAACGGAAACATTCATGGGTTCTTAACTCCCCTGTTAGTGTAAATGCAGCAGCAGCAGCAAAGAAGTTTGACAACACAACAAGCACCCAGGCAAAATGATACAATGCAGTAGGTGATATGTGTCTCGAAGGTTTTGAGTTACTTAAGTTCATGTTAAAAATAAACATGAATTAAAATGGATTATTCTATTAAGCAAACATCCCCTCTAATCATACAAAGATCAGATATTCAATTCACAAACAATTAAGCCATAAAAAATTATCACACATCCACCACCTTTTGCCTAAATTTGGTTTTTCGCAAAGTTATGGACTCTTAAGGGTAACGTTCATGGGTAGTCAGTTTCATAACTCTAGAGAGCACAGTAAGCAGCCACCAGCCAGACACAGTGTGGTAGGCGAATATGATTCTCAATTCACAATTTCTCACCACCGGAAGTAAGAACAGACCATAATAAGTGTAGCGTTCATGGGTGGTATGTTTCATAGCACTACTACACAATTTGTTAAAAAAGAAAGAAAGGTATTTAGCATCACGCGAAACAACTTTTACAGGCCAACAATGACAACATGCTGCAACCACAAGAACTGGTATCACAACTCAAAGGGGAAATCAAAAGATTTACTCTCAAATTAAGTAGTTACGACATCGAGCAATCGTCAAGCACATACACCATCACAAAAGTCACGGAACCTGATTCACAAAGCATTCATACATTTGAGGACATTTCTGCAAAGGTACAGCTTATATGTCTTTTTTTCAAGCCATTTCCATCAACATGCTAATAAATTTGCAATGCATAAAACAAACGGGCCAAAACTTGAAATTCAGCCTGTTTGACCGGCCCATGCCAAATTCTAATTATTCTTTACTTTTAAACTTTCTATTTGAAAATAAAAAATAGTGAAAGAAAAGAGACGACTACAATTCGCCATTTGCACATCACTTATTCGGGAATAAAACCATAGAAATTCAAAAGGAACTGAAAATGTTTAGAATCGTTTTAATGTTTAAAATAACCAAATAGATCTTTATGTTAGTTTTTTACTAACAAATACCAAACGATTCCCTATAAAATACACTATAATTTGATCATTATGATGTCAAATAATTATAAAATATATATTTGAAATGATAAAAATTGGACTAATTGGGTTGTTCGAGGTTGAACCATTGAATAACTTTAAAATACATTATATTTTAGCCACTAAGATATAAAATAATAGCATAATATATATTATGCCAGAGAAAATAGCTTGTTTTAGAATGACAAACCAATTATGTTCATTTGTTTTACTTTATGGCCAAATCCCATGTAGGTCAGGCCCATTCAACTCTTTTATTTTATGGTTAGCGGTTAGCCCATTAGATACCATGCATTAGTTTATTGTTAAATTTTTTATTTTTAACAATAAAAAGGAGTATTATTTTTGCCTTTTAATATATATTTTATCACCACGGAGAAATAAAAGGGTATAATGAAAAAAATTGACACTCCTGGACCCGTTTTAATCCACATGTGTACGGTAAGTTGGCCCGTTGCACGGAGGAAAGAGAAAAAATTGACACTCTCTATTCTACCCTTCCTACAAACGCTCATGGAGCAGGGAATTTGAAATGGGGGAAGAGTTTTTTCCACCCTGCTATTATATGTTTCTAATTTAAAAGGATACAACAAATGTACTTAGTGTGATTGGTTATAATCCTTGCCTTTCTTTAAAATGGTCATGGTTCGAATCCCAGTATGTATCTTTTTAATGAATAAAAAAGGTAATTGTGAAGACCAAAATGTCCTTCCTACTTTCACTCTCGTTGCAGGAAATTTGAAATGGGGCTCCCGTTTTTCTCTTCGGTGTATTATATTATGTGTAGATTTGCTGAACCACGCAGAGTTAACTTGTAACATTGGGCCATGAGATTTGATCGGATTGTTTCCTTCTTTTGTTCACAGAGTTTACGATGTCCTCAAATTCGTCAATTCATATGGCAGATTGAAGCCGATCAGTAGCTTTCAGGTTTAGTTATGGGTTCCATTTCATGCGTTTAGTTGATTAAGTGAGAAGTTGTATGCTCATGATTCCTACTATATTCAATTGTGTCTGGTGTGCCGATTCTAGAGGGGACTTTTGCTAGGTTAGTGTTATTGGTCGAGCTTGAGTTTAGTATGATGAGGTTTTTAAGTGAATCGAACAAGATTTTGGTGTTATAAGTTCATGTATAATATTTGAATATTCTCAAGAGTGTGATGGAAGTTAATTAACTTAGTATTGATATCACAATATATATTTATAAACTGATATGTTGCTTTGAAAACTGACATGAAACAAACTAAAGAAGAGAGTAAGACTTTCTATAATGCCAATTACGGGTCCTATGATCACAAACAGGGTTCAAGAAGGCGTGCCTAGGCGCACGCCTAGGCTCAATTAGGCGCTAGGCGGTGGAGGATCGCCTTGACTTGGCCATAGGCGTTGTAAAAGGCGCTGGTAGCGCTTAGTAGGTAGGAATAGCGCTTAGTTTGCGCCTAGTGGAGAGAAGGTGTGCCTGGGCGTTCCTGGGTGAGCTTAGGCGGTTAAACCCAATACTCTTCGTTTTGTCCTAGAAAATCAGAAAATTGCCTCTTGCCTTAGAAAATCAGAAACACGGGAAGGGGATGACCATGCTATGTATGTATTCGTAGATGAGAATGAGGAATCATATTGTGCACCCTCGAGTACTGTTACAGATGCAATGGCGGGTTAACAGAGTGAGCTTCGTGGGAGTGCAAGAGTGAGAGAGCTCCATGATGAAGAATTAGAGTTCGAAGAGGAGGAGAATGGTGAGGAGATTGCTTTTGAGGATGATGAAGATGAAATGGTGGCTGGACGGACCTACTTGGATGATGAAGAATGAACATTTTCCTATGAACTTATTGACTATTGTTTAGTATTTTGACATTTTATGAACTTGTGATTCTAGGAAGTGGTCACTATTTGCTTGTTATTTGTTATGTTAAGTGTTTACTATTAAGAACTAGGCATTGCTAATTTTATATGCACTTGGATTATATGAATTATTCCAGAAAACAGGAAATATTTGAGAACTTTTTCCATTTATGCTCTGAACGCCTAGGCGCGCCTAGGCTACGCCTAATCAGGCAAGGCGCAAGTCAGGAGTCTTTTATTGACTTTGTGATTTTTTAGATGTTGTGGAGTCTTGATGGATACTGGAGCTATGTAGTTAAGTTTAATTTGATCATATGTGCAGGGTCGGAGCTTTTGTTACTACTCGAGCTTTGGCAGTGGAATGAATGGGGGAAAGGATAAATTAGCTGCCATTGATAGAAACAAAAGGCAGAAATCAAATATGTTTGTGTGGAGACCAGTCTCTGTTAGTGTCCACTGTAATGAAGGTTTTAAGTCTTTTTCACTAGTTTACCTCAGCAAGAGTACATGATTGTAGCTGCATGA